TCGATGTTGCTTGTAGGTGCATTTCTTTCAACTATGACGTGAATCACCTTATAACACTCACTGCATATATGATGTCTGATCTCATATGGGATGGATATATCAATCTCCTAACTAATCTTTAATATATTTTCTTATAGATAAAAAATTTAATATATTTCCTTGTTTACTGGCATCTCTTCTTCTACAATTCCTAATTGTGATTAATATCAACAAGAGTGTTAGATGGTTTGTATACTAACTTGCAATGTCTCTCTACAAGTCATGAATGTATTTCTGTTATAAAATAAAAATTCTGGTTTTGAGTAAATGATTTTAATTCTTATAAAGTATTGCAACTTAATAATTTTTTTGATTTCAAATTCTTCTGCCATGCATTACGATAGTATCACTTTTTCTTTCTCATTATCTCCTGTTATGATAATGCCATCAACATATAGTAGGAGAATTATAACTTTTCCTGTCTCTAAGTGTTTAATGAATAGAGTATATTCTTGAGCCTACTTAAATTTCAGATTTATCATCACCCTTGGAGATATGCCAAACTAAGTTCTTGGCGATTGCTTAAGTCCATAGAGAGCTCTTTTTAGTTCACATATTTGGTCCTACTTCTCTTTCAAAGTCTGGTAGGATATTCATGTAATTTTAAAAGATGTGACGACTAAAGAATTTGCTATTAAAGAATTGAGAAAATTAAAATATTTCCTAGGAATCGAAGTGACATACTCAAAGTTAGGAATATTATCTCATAGCAAAAATATGTTACAAATCTCTTAAAAGAAACTGGCAAGCTGGCATGCAAACATGTAATCACACCGATTGATCCCAATAGTAAACTGGGATTGACAGAGGAAGACTCGAAGTGAACAAAAAAATATACCAGAGATTAATAGGGAAATTAATATATTTGTCATATACCAGATTAGACATTGCATTACAGTTAGTGTAGTAAGTTAATTCATGTCATTGTCCAAATAAGTGCATCTACAAGCTACCTGCAAGATTCTTCACCACTTGAAGGGTACTCCTGGGAAGGGAATTATGTTTGAAAGAAACATTGGACTACTACTTGAAGCATACACTGATGTAGACTATGCAGGATCATTAGCTGATAGAAGATTCACTTGGGGATACTGCATCTTCCGTGAAGGAAATCTGATGACTTAAAGAAGTTAAAAAATAGAATGCGGTGGCTTGGTTATTGTGGAACTAGAGTTTAGGGCTATGGCATAAGGAGTGTGTGAACCTCCATAGTTAAAATGATTTTAAAAGGTCTGAAAATTTAGTACGATGGAGCTATTAGACTTTAATGTGAAATAGATCAGTTATTAATATCGTTCACAATCTGGTATGACATGACAGGACATAGTACATTGAGGTAGATAGACATTTCATCAAGGAGAAATTGAATAATGGGCTGATATACATTCCATACATGTATCACACTATAACTTGCGGATGTATTGACAAAATGATTAAGTAATTCTGGATTTCAGAGTACTATTGCCAAGTTGGAATGTAAGATATCTAGTCACCAACTTAAGATGGAGTGTTGAGAATAGTATAAAATTGTATTAAAGTAAAGAGTATGTTAGTAATATATCCTTCTTATTGGAATTAAGTGTATTTCCTTTGATTTCTCATGTAATCTTGTATAAATAGGTATTTCATATTTCAATAAACTACACGCTTCACTCTTCACATTGTCATCTATAAAACCTTAGTTTCTTGATCATTTCTCTATTTACTAATCTCATGATCTGCTTAATGGCCGAACTTTTTTAATTTGTAACTGTAGTTGATGTTAGATGGGTGCAATGTCAGCTTTACCAATATCTTAGATTTAATTGTCATGTGGATTTAATGTTGGCTTTATCTGATAGAGGATAGTATCCTTCTATGCAATTATATTGCGTTATGCATTATCTCATAATGTCACTATTCCTTATTTATGCTTGCTCCATCTTTCTCTTTTACAGTCATTGGCAGTGGTCACACTTGGTGATAGACAAATGGCACAGAGAGTTGACAATCTTGTTGGGGTGGATGAATTTAAGAGATTCTATCTTCAGGTCTCTCTCAATTTGATTTTCCCTGTAAATCTCATATCATTTATCAACTGCAAGTTACCTTTCCCAAGGGGGGGGGGGGGGAATTAATACCATTTG